TTTTATTCTTTTCATTTTTTTAATTTATATATATATATATATATATTATTTTTTTACACTTATTGTTATTGCTATTACATAGGGGGATAACAATCCCCCTATATAATAGCACAGGTACACTGACAGGTCCTCTTCAACGGGCGGACAGCAACTGGTTAAAGGAGAACTATGGGGTACACGTTTTTTTGCATTTTTAGTTTCTTTATGATACAGGAGTACATTTTGCAATGTACTCCTGCAATCAAAAATGCACCATAAGCTCACAATTCAGTGTAATAAACTGTGGAAGGGGCTAAGCTCTGTGCTGAGAGGTGATCCTGACAATCTTGTCTGGTTTATCCTCCCCTTTTGAGTGACAGCAGCTTGTAGGAGATGCTGCGCGTTCATGAGAACCTGTGCAGACACAGCACCTATCAAAGTTTATTCATATCAGGTCACAGATCTACGAACACTTGCACATCCATCCCGCAGTCTGTCTTTCGTTCCCCCCTACCCTCTCCTCTCCGCACTGCTGACTCCAAACAATACATATACCGCATCGGCACGAAGACCATCAGTTCAGCTCTGTCCTCTATTTTCTGGAGACAGCAGTGTGGAGGAGAGGGGGGAATGAAAGAAAACCTGCAGGATGGATGTGCAAGTGTTAACTCTGATAGGATGTACCCTGAGCATCTGCACAGGTTCTCATGAATGTGCAATGGGAGAGGAGGATCTTGACAATATTGTCAGGATAGCGTCTCAGCACAGAGCTTAGACCCTCCCACAGTATATTACATTGAATTTTAAGCTTATGGTGCATTTTTGATTACAGGAGTACATTGCAAAATGTATTCCGGTATCATAAGGAAACTAAATATGCAAGAAAAGGTGTACCCCATAGTACTCCTTTAAGCTGCTCACTAGTTAAAATTGAAAATGAAGCCTGTCTAAAACATACCTGAATCTTCATGGCAAGATCCCCAGGCATTATTTTAAAGAAACTTGGAGATCTAAATACATTGAAAATTACTTTGAAATGACATGTGGAAGCATATTTTAGATGTTAGCAACTGGGTTTACATATACTTTTAAGCTATCTACACTCTCTATGATAGAGTGAGGTGATGTGCAAAGCACAAAACCATGTGACAAGAAACTTTATTCCTACATAGAAGCCTATGAGAGGAACCGGCAGAATCCAGCTGCAATAGATTACATTAAACCCCTGTTAAGGTCATTTTTGTAACTTGCAAAATAATTGCAGATTTCTTGAATATAATTGGCAATGTAATAACTGATTTGTTTTTTTTCCGGCATTATTCTTTTAGACAAATAGCAAAGAGCTAACTCAAAGTGAAAATCACATGTCAAAATGGTTAGTAGATCCTAAAATAAAGGCAGCTAAAACAATTTGCAAACCAATTTTTCCTGTAAAAATGTACACTGTTCAAGGATAAGGAGAAATGAGTCTGCAAATCCTTTCTGAATTTGGGCTTGGCAAAACAAGCACACTTCTAAGCACCAGATGAAAGCCTAAAGTATATCTAAAGCCAATGGTTTTGTTTTTTTTTATTTTGGATAGAGCAGGGTAGGATTAAAATCTCTGTCAATTGTTTTCCATCTGTGTCTCATTGGGGAAATTTCCCTTCATTTCCTGTCCTGTAGAAGAGTATATCTTTCCAATACCAACGTATTGAGAAATTAAATATCTATATATATTATAAAGAGATATTTTCATGCAGTTGCGAGTGCAACATTGGAAATACATGAATCCTTTAAATAACATTCTTGAGCAGAATTCCTTAAAGCTATACTTGGTGTTATGGCACAGTACAATTTTTGTTAACAGTCTGAGCAACAGCATACACTGGCAGGATATATTTGGCTATGGAATTATTTTTTTCTTATACAATTAGCTTGGCTTACATACAGCAGCAGCAACACAATCATAACAATTTCCGTTTGAAAAAGGCTTTTTTACAGGTAGTTTCAGCAGCAATTAATGCTTTTGTTTTACCATTAGTTTGCTGAGGCTGTCCCTGTTCTCCCTAATACAAAACTGTCCTGCTGCTGGCCAGTCTCTATCAACCTCAGAATCTCTGAATTAAGAGACTGGCCAAAATGTAGAAAAAGGGAGTACAAACAGGAGTTGTTATACAAGAATTGAGAGACTGTAGATGACACAAATGTAACTGGCCAGCAGCAGAACATTTTTAAATAGTCTAGGCACAAATTTACCAGAGACAATGAGAATAGGCTGAGGCTATACTATAAGAATTAAGATACTCTAAAGGATGCAGCAGTGTAAACGTGGCCATCAGCAGGGCACTTTTAATGAAGGATAATATGCCTAACCGGGTAATGCCTAACTTTTATTTTATCTATGGGAAAGGCTGGGTGCTGTGAGTGTGAGTGAGTGAGTCATAAATGGTAACATGGTTTAAGTGCACACTGTTCTAGTTCTTCTTTTTTTATTTCAAACAATACAGAACAAAAGGCAGTTATGCTGCCAAACAATGCAGCAAACAAAAGGCAGCTCCAAGAATAGATGGTCAGTAAAAAGTAAATGCTGCACATTAACAGGTAAAAATTGCATACTGCACACCCCAAACTTTATAAAAGGCCCTAGCATTATAAATTTAAATTATGAAAACCCCAAATGAAATGAAAATCCCCAAATACCACCTCTGAGATATAAGTTGATTTTAATTAAAGCAAAGCCCATAAGCAAAAGAAAGCTCATAAGCAATATACCTTGATAATACATTAAAACACCAAATACTACCCCCTGAAACAAAAGCCCAACAAAAGCTGCAAAGGTGATGATTGCTCAAAGAGCTAGCAATCAGAATTAAACTGCAGTTTAATAACTGACCCTAATCTCTCTCTGTGAAGTCTGTCAGCTTTCCTTATGCTTTCCCTACAGCAGCTTCCAATACACTGACCCATATATAGTTAGGGGGATGGCCTATCCAAATTCCCCCTTATTGCACCTTCCAAGCATGCTGACCATTGTTCAGTATGGTGAAAGGCCATGCAGTGCATTATGGTTTAAAAAATTCTGCACAAACTTGAACGCAAAGGTAGTGAATCCAAACCTCATCCATATTGGTGACCGGGACAATTAGAGAGCGTGGACACAGAAAGAAGAAACACCTGACAGTAGTTCTAACCATCACCATTCACCAAAAAAGTTTTGCCTTTAGTTATACTTTAAGCTGTCACTGCTGGAAGTGTGCTGGTTACTGAGGCTCACCTTTGCATAGTAAGATTTACATGCTACAGCAAGCATGCATTGCAAGGAAAAACACAGTGAGGGGCATTGTTTTAAAATGGAGCAGACAGAATCTGGAGCAGCTGTACACAGATTATCACTTCAGTTTGTTCAGTTAAGCTTTGGAAATGAAAGAGAGGAGCTGATTAGTTGCCATGGACAATTACTTCAGATTCCGTCTGCTCCAGTTTTGATCAATTTCCCTCAGTGTTCCTGCATTGTGGCAGTTCTCAATGTTAGCAATCTATTAATGAAATAATTTATTCATTATTTTTAAATATTTTATTAAATATGGCTGATGATCTTTAGTTTAAACATGTAGGTTTTTAGAATTATACAGTCCTTATTTAAATAACAGCATCTGAAATTGTTCACTTGACCTTCATTTTAAATCTAATTCTGGATTAATTCTGTAAAACAGTGGGATGATCATAGACCTCAAGGTCTGGCGCCTTGATGTCCGGTATAAGGATCATCAATCACTGTCGGTGTAACAACAGGAGTCTACAGGGCATGCTACAAAGTAGTACATAACTGCAGCACTGCAAGGTCTTATATGATTATTTCAAGGTGTAGGCTTTGTGTATTAGTCCCAGGTGTAGGATCTGTGTATTACTTCCAGGTGTAGGTTCTGTGTCGTTTTTCCAGGTGTAGGCTCTGCATAGTATTTTTAAGTGTAGGCTCTGTGTATTATTTCCAGGTGTAGGCGCTATGTATTACTTCCAGGTGTAGGTTCTGTGTATTGTTTCCAGGATTAGGTTCTGTGTAGTATTCCCAGGTGTGCGCTCTGTGTCTTTTTTCCAGGTGTAGGCTCTGTGTAATATTTCTAAGTGTCGGTTCTGTGTATTGTTTCCAGGTGAAGGCTCTGTGTATTTTCTCCAGGTGTAGGCTCTGTGTCTTTTTTCCAGGTGTAGGCTCTGTGTATTATTTCCAGGTGTAGGCTCTGTTTATTAGTCCCAGGGGCAGACTCTGTGTATTTTCTCCAGGTGTATGCTCTATATATTACTTCCAGATATAGGCTCTGTGTATTACTTCCAGGTGTAGGCTCTGTGTATTACTTTCAGTTGTAAGCTCTGTGTATTATTTCCAGTTGTAGGCTCTAGGTATTACTTTCAGGTGTAGACTTTGTGTATTACGTCCAGGTGTAGGCTATGTGTATTATCTCCAGTTGTAGGCTCTGTGTATTACTTTCAGGTGTAGGCTTTGTGTATTATTTGCAGGTGTAGGTTCCATTTATTACTTCCAGTTGTAGGCTCTGTGTATTACTTTCAGGAGTAGGCTCTGGGTATTACTTTCAGGTGTAGGCTCTGTGCATTATCTCCAGGTATAGGCTCTGTGTATCACTTTAAGGAGTAGGCTTTGTATATTACTTCCAGGGGTAGGCTCTGTGTGTTACTTCCAGGTGTAGGCTCTGTGTATTACTTTCACATGTAGGCTCTGTATATCATTTAGGGGTGTAGGTTCTGTGTATAATTTCTAGGTGTATAGTACTGTGTGGCATGTCTAAAGGTGCACACACACCTTACAATTATCTGCAGATTTTCTGTGGTCAGATGGAAAAGGTGCAACAGATTGGCCCAGGTGGAGATTACTCCATCCACACAGTTAAGTGTAGATGGAGGAATCGGTTGCACCTTTTCCATCTGACCACAGAAAATCTGCAGATAATTGTAAGGTGTATGGCCAGCTTAAAAGGGTAAATCTATTACAGGGACAGAAATTATTTATGGCCAATTCCTTTACTGAAAACAACTGATTTGTAGCTATTACAGAGGTTTATTTGAAAATTCCACATATACAGTATGTGTGCTCACTTCCAGAACTGAACACCAGTCATGAAGAGCTATAATTTCCACACCATTCTGAGATGTCTCTAGTTACCCAATGATTCTGAAATAAGTGAAGTTTAGTTTCACTAAGGGCATTGTATGATATTAGATGCTAAGATTTTCTCAAGGCGAGATGAACCATTTTTAGTTCTGACAATATAGTTAGACGTTACTGGATTTTCAGCCTTGTTTTATTTGTGTTTTCCCTGTCCCTATCACAGCCTCATCAATCACTTTTCTTAAGTACTTTTCGATATTGTTCGACAACCAAGAAAAAGTTTTAAGAGAATACTTTAGAAATTTACATGTAATGTACTGACAGCATAAA